TCTTCGGCATCTGGGCGGAGTTGCGCGGCCGCTGGCGCGAGGAACTGCGGATGAAAAGGGCGCGCATGTTGGGGCTTATGGGCGATGAGAACCCGACCTGGGACCGCGTCAAGTTCGCGTGCACGTCCCCCGCCAGCAGTGAGGGCCCGCGACCTTGGTTGCGGATGCCGCGCACCTACTTCTTGGACGAGCCCGACCAGTACTTCATGGCGGACATCATGGCCAGGCACCACAACAAGCTGGCGAGGTCGCAGTGGCAGGCAGCCTTCCGCTCCAATGCGCCCCCCCCCCCCCCCCCCCCCGCAGCCCATCCAATCCAGGTCCGGGCCCAAAGCGGGCAAGGCGGGTTCAGTGGGCTCTGGTGCCGAGGGAACGAATCGGATCGCAGGCGCCTTCATGCCGAAAAAGGAGCGCCCGTCCTCCTCGCCATCATCAGGAGATAAAGAGGCGAGGAGGAGGAGGAGGAGTTTTGAGGCGGCCTGAGGGATCTGGGCCCGAGGTGGGCCCATGTGATCACGATCCGCCCGTGGCCTCGAGGCGGAGAGATCAGGAAGAAACGGGGATGGCGACGAGGACTATCACGACGACGGCGACGACGACGGCGGCGACAGCTACCACGGCGACGATGACGGCGACGACTGCGACGACGACGACGACGACGACAACGACGACGACGAGCGCGACGACGACGACGACAGAGACGACAGGGGCGACGGCGACGACGATCACGACGACGATGACGACGACGACCTACGTCGGCAAAGACGACGAGGATTGCGAAGACGATGGCGACGATTACGATAACGACGACGGCAACGACAACGGCGACGGCGACAGTTACAACGACGATGACGACGACAGCGATGACGAAGATGCAGACGACGGCGACGACGAAGACGACGACGACAACGAGCGCGACGACGACAATGACGACGACGACGACGACGACGTCGACGACGACGACGACGACGACGGCGACGGCGACGGCGACGACGGCGACGACAACGATGGCGACGACGGCGTCGACGGCGACTACGACGACGACCAGGATGGCGACGACGATGACGAGGACGACGGCGACGACGACCAGCACGGGGACGACGACGACAGCGACGACGACGACGACGAGGACGACGACGGCGACGACGACGACGATGGCGACTGCGACGGCGACGACGACGACGACGATGCCGAAGACGACGACGACGACGACGGCAGCGACGACGGCGACGACGAGGGTAACAACGACGACGACGGTGACGACATCGACTGCGACGACCGAAGTCGACGACGCTTACGTCGAGTACGAAGACGCCGACAACGACGACCATGACGGCAACGACGACGACGAAGGCTACGACGATGGCGACGACGGCGACGACGATGGCGATGGCGACGACGATGATTACCGATGGTGATGTCGATGGCGAAGACGACGACGACGGCGACGTCGGCGGTGCCCACGGCGACGACGACGGTGGCGACGACGACGACGGCGACGACGACGACTGCGGCGACCGACGCGGACAAGTTGCCGACGACAGCGACGACGACGACGACGGCGACCATGACGACGACCAGCACGGCGTTGGCGTCGAAGACGGCGAGCACGATCACGACGACGGCGACGACCGCGACGACGGCAACGACGACAAGCACGATGGCGACGACGGCTTCGACGAGCAGGGCGACGACGACCTCGTCAACGGCGACGACGACGACGGCGACGACGGCGACGTCGACGATGATGACGACGGCGACGACGGCCACGCTTACGACGGTGACGACGGCGACGGCGACGACGACGACCCCGACGGCGACGGCGACAGCGATGGTGACGACGACGGCGACGACGACGACTGCGACGGCAACGACGAAGACGACGACTACGACGACGAACAACGACGGCCACAACGGCCACGACGACGACGAAGACGACGACGAAGACGACGACGAAGACGACGACGGCGGCGTCGACGGCGACGACGCCGGCGACGACGACGGCGACAACGACGACGACCGCGGCGACGACAGCGACCATGGCGATGACGACGGCGATGACGGCGAGGGCGAGCGGGGCAACGACGAATGTGACGACGACGACGGAGACGACGACGACAACGACGACGCCGACGAAGACGACGATGACCAGACCAACAATGGGGAGGGCCACGGTGACGACAACCACGACGACGGCGCCGACGGCGACGGCGACGATGACGCCGACGACGACGGCGACAACGACGACGACGACGACGACGGCAACGACGGCGACGACGACGACGACGGCGACGACTACGACGACCAGCACGAGGGCGACGACTACGACAATGACGACGACGGCGACGACGGCGGCGACTCTGGCGACGACAATTGCGTCGACGGCGGCGATGGCGACGACGGCGACGTCGACGACGACTGCGACGACAACGACGATGATGTCGACGACGGCGACGGCGACGACGGCGCCGACGACGACGGCGACAATGTCTGCGACGACGGCGACGACGAAGAAGATGACGATGCTGACGACGACGACGACGACGATGACGACAGGCAAGGGGGCGGCCACGGTGACGACGACATCGACGGCGACGACGGCGACGACGACGACGGCGTCGACTGCGACTACGGCGGCGACGATGACAACGACGTCGACGACGGTTCCGACGACGAAGACGACTACGACGACGACTATGCCGTCGGCGACGATGACAAAATTGATGACCGCGGCGACGACGACGACGAAGACGGTGAAAACGACGACGACGACGGTGACGATGACGGCGACGACGACGACGACGGCAGCGACGGTGACGACGGCGACGACCACGACGACGACGTCGGTGACCGCGGGGACGACGGCGACGACGACGACGATGACCGATGGCGACGACGACGCCGACAAGCACGACGACGACGATGGCGACGGAGGCGACGACAACGACGACGACGTGGGCGACGACGACGACGACGGCGACGTCGGCGACGACGACGACAACGACGACGACGACAACGACGACGGCGACAACGACGAAGACGGTGGCGACGAAGGCGACGTTGACGACGCCGATGACGACGAGCGACGAATGCGACAACCACGTCGGCCACGACCAAGACAACGGCGGCGAAGACGACAGCGGCAACGACGACGATTACGTTGACGGCGACGACGGCGACGACGACGGCGACGACGACGACGACAACGGGCACGACACGACGACGACGACGGCGTCGACGACGACGACCAACACGGCGACGACGACGACGACAACGGCGACGACGGTGGCGACAACGGCGACGACGAGCATGACGAAAACGATGGCGACGACGACGACGACCACAACCACGAAGAAGACGTCGACGACGGCGACATGACGACGACGACGTCGAAGACGGCTACGGCGACGACGAAGGCAACCATGACGACGGCGACGACGAAGGCGACGACGGCGGGGACGACGTCGACGACGACGACGGCGACGACTTTGACGCCGACGATGGCGACGACGACGACGACGACGACGGCAACGACGGCGACGACGGTGGCGACGACGACGATGGCGTCGGCGACGACGACGTGGGCGACGACGACGACGACGACAACGGCGACGACGGTGGCGACAACGGCGACGACAAGCACGACGAAAACGATGGCGACGACGACGACGACCACAACCACGAAGACGACGGCGACGACGGCGACATGACGACCACGACGTCGAAGACGGCTACGGCGACGACGAAGGCGACCATGACGACGGCGACGACAAAGGCGACGACGGCGGGGACGACGTCGACGACGACGACGGCGACGACTTTGACGCCGACGATGGCGACGACGACGACGACGACAACGACGGCAACGATGGCGACGACGGTGGCGACGACGACGACGGCGACCGACTGCGTCGACGACGACGACCAGCACGATGACGACGACGACGGCGACGATGTCGGCGACGACGGCGACGACGACGACCACGGGAACGGCGATGACGACAGTGACGTTGTCGACGAAGAGGACGACGACGACGGTGACGACGACGGCGACGATCGATGACGGCGATGACGGCCGCGGCGGCGACGACGGCGACGACGACGACGACGCCGACGAAGACGAAGACGAGGACGACGACGACGAGCACAACGACGATGTTGACGAAAACGGCGGCGACGACGACGGCGACGACGGCGGCGACGAAGGCGACGACGAAAGACGACGACGGCGACGACGACGGCCACGACGACGACGACGACGATGACGACGACGATGACGCGGGCGCCGACGCCGGCGCCAGGGTGGGAGGGGGGGCGGACTGTGGTTTCGGGGGGCGGGGCGGGGGAGGGGAGCCCCCCTGGTTTTGTTCGACTGCGCTGAACGTTCAAGGGGGCACCCCCCTCCGGTTCAAACGCGCGCCGCCGAAAGATCCTAGGGGAAGCGCCCGTGAAACGCGGTCCGTCATAGTTAACAGTATTTCTGGGGAGAGTTGTCAATGTATGCCCTGCATCGGCACTCATGTGTTTTGTTTTGGGTCGACTCTCTGGTGCCACTAGCGTGGGGTGTTGGTAGGGGGTGGGTGTGCGGGACGGTTCGAGTGTGACTGCTCGTGCGGTATTGTTGCCCCCATGCACCTGCACGCTTCCAGTGGAGATGATATCAAAATGCGGTTAAGTTTTGTTTTGTCACGGCAGCTCTAGATTGTTTGCACGTGCCTGTGTATACTTGACATGCCGTGTCAGTGCAGCCAGTCGTTTCTTTCAGAAGTAGTATGGAAAGTGGGTGGTACGCCGAGTCGACTATGGAGCGTCAGGGGCAGTGCGCAAGTGTGACAGGTTTGCGATGTTGTGGGAAGTGAACCTTTTTTATGGCAGGTAGTTGATGGTCATATGGGCTTCACTTGACGTCTACGAAAGGAAGGGTGGAGGGCGTGCATTGCGTTGCTGGTCGGCGTTTGTTGCGCTGTCGCCGTCGTTCGGCGTACGTCTGGCAGAACCAGGATTGTTGAGAAGAACATTGTCAAGGAGGTTAATGGCGTCCCGCTCACTCCGCCGGTGATTCTTCTTTGAGCCGTTGCTGAGGATATGTGGGTCTGTTGCTGCTACTGTCTCCAGCGGGATTCCGCAAGGCAGAGGCCACACTTGGCTTCAGGCATTTTCGCAAATCCATATCCTCGTACATTTGCTACATTCAGAGATCCTGGCCCACCAGGGGGAAGTTAATCATTGTGATTGGGGGCTTTATGTTGGCAGATCTACGAGACGAGGCTGGATAACCTCCTTTCCACCCGACACTCGATAATAGTGACCTCCGCATATGTTTGATGTGCGACGTGTCCCTGGCGCTGTCCAGTTCAACCTGAAGGATCACAGTATTCCGCTGGTCTCCAGGCAAGAGGATTATTGACAATGTCCGGGCACACTCGGGAACCTCAGAGGTATCGGAGAAGGGCGACGATGATGAGCAAGGAGGTGGGCATGAGTATGAGCATGATCATGAGCCTGAGCATCAATATGAGCATTCTCGTGAACATGACGATGATGACGATGATGACGATGACGATGATGCTGACGCCGATGATGATGCTGCTCATGTTGCTGATGGATACGCTGATGCGAAGGAGGAAACGGAGGACGGAGAGGAGGAGGAGGCGGAGGAGGAGAGAATGTCAGGGCAGATTTGCCGTTCTGGCATGCGCATCTTGATTTTTTGCGCCCCTCTCTGGGCGATTGCGGACACGGGAACCGACCAACGCTGCTTGCAATATCTCTGGCGGGCGCACGCCCCTTCCCCCCTTGCGGGTTTTTGCTCGTTGGCCGCTTGCTCCGCGCCGCGGTGAAGTCTGAAACGCAGTCGGGCCGACGTGAGCGCCGAGGGCGAGTGGGCCAGGCAAGGGAGTCGGCCTCCACGGGGCATCTCTCAGAGGCTCCCCCCCCCCCGCCCGCGGAGCACCACGCTGGGCCAGCAGGTGCCAGAAGATCTCTACGGATATACGTGCCTCGTGGTGTTCTTCCTCTTCCTCCTCCCTTTCCTCGTCCTCCTCCTCCTCCTCCTCCTCCTCCTCCTCCTCCGTCCTCCTCATCCTCCTCTAGCATTTCCCTGTTGGGTGATATAACTCCTCTTTGTCGCACACCCGGACGGGTCGGTGGGACGGGTTGGGCGTTTCGTTTGGACATCCTCACAGTTTTGGATCATAAACCTACACATGTCCAACAGCTTCTAGGATGGAGGGCGGCTCGTTGTTCGGCTCTTCTTCAGGGTTGTGAAGGGTGTCCTGTGAAATGTGTGAATTTATGCGCGCCCATGCACCCTATTCTATTTGCTGCTGCTCTTGCTGCCCGTGGCCCTCCTGTTGACGAGCGGCGTGACATCGTGTAGAGCATCGACCAATGCTTATCGAGCTGTGTAAATTCAGGAACTCATTTCTCCTCCTCCCTCCTCTCGGTCCCACCTCTTCGCCGTCGTCCTATCTTCATCCTGGTCCATTCCGCGTCCTCCTCGTTGTCCCCTCCGTTCTCCAACTCCATTTCTCTCACCCCATTCTCGTTCTCGTTCTCTGATTCATAGTTCTCGCCCCTCGGCCTTCTCCCCATGCAATGTAATAGGGTGAGGAGGAAGGGCCACTCGAAACACTGGCCACTAGTACGTGCACTGCAATGTTTCATCGTTTGGATATCTACCGATGTTTACAGGAAGGCGTTTGAGCAAGTTTCCTCTTGCTGGCCGTTCGGCGTACTTTGTCTTCGCTGGAACCTTATCGTAGCGGGTCCAATCTGGCCTTGACTCGGCTGCCCTGTGCGCCCCCCAACTCGGGTGTAACATGCGGCGGGGGGGAATCGGCTCAGGGGGGGGGACATCGACCCCCAATCGCCCATACGACTGCCGAAAGGGGCCTGATAACCCTTCTTGCCCAGGAGCGTGTCGATTTGCGATCGGGAGCGTATCGCCGACCTACCGCGATGGATCGCCGATTCCAGGTCGTTGTGGCCCCCTTGAGCCAGTCTCCCCCGTCGTTCCATTCCCCTTTTCTCGTCCTCTTGGCCCCCTGATGCCCTCTTACTATATTTCTGCCCCGGCCCTGCCCCCCCCCCGCTTCGACAGCCTGGCCTCTTCAGTCAGCAGCGACGGTTGTTTGCTCGCCGCCTGGTCCCGAGAGGTGATAGCGGCCATTGCAACACCCGTTGCCCTCGTGGCCCTCTTCGCTGGATGGGCGGGGAGAAAGTCAGCGGACGGGGGAAGTCAGATAGAAGTCTCAGAAGGCCTCCTGTCCCTTGAAACATATTCTAAGCATGCCCCGAAATCACACATGGTTTCTCAGGAATTGAGGCGGCTTCTGAGGAGGCCCGCCGCTTTCTTGGAAGGCCTGCACCCCCCTCGGCGCGCCGCCGAGAGAGGGCGCAGCGAGAGAGGCGTGCGAACACTGCGAGAGGCAATGAGGAAGAGGTGGAGTTGGAGCAGCGGTGCTGTAGCAGTAGCACGGCAGTGGTGGCAACATCCACAGCGGCGTGAGTTGTGGCCACATGCGCAGGATCAGCATTGAACATATCACCCTGACGGCTGGTAGTAGCAACAGTGGTTGCAGCGTCACAGCTGTGCGGCAGCAGCGACGGGCACGGCAGCGTCTTCGAGAATGGCACGGGGAGGGCGAGGAGGAGAGCGGTAGTGTCGCCAGCGGTTGCGGTGGTGCACGGCGGCAGTTGATGCGTGGCCTCGTCTTCGCTCATGTGCCGCGAGTTCTCTGTCTGTCTGTCTGCCTTCTCTCTTTCTCTCTCCTTTTTGTTTGCTTACTCTCTCTCTCTCTCTCCATAGATTTCGCTGTCTCTCTTTCCCTATGTGTCTTCTGTTTCTCCCTCTATCTCTCTCTTTGTTGCATTGTTTTCTCTCTCCTTCTCTCTGCCTGTCCGCCGTAGAGACCGCGCTGCGGGGAAGGAGTGCATTATTTCTTCGGAAGCAACTCCGCTGGGCGGCTGAATGTCATGCGCTTGAGAGCGGGGTCAAGAGAGAGAGAGAGAGAGAGGGAGAGCATGATAGCCATACGTATAGGAAAGAAAGAGAGAGAGAGAGAGAGAGAGAGAAAAAAGAGAGAGAGAGAGAGAGAGAACGATAGACAGAGAGAGAGGGAGAGAGAGAGAGAGAGGGATATATATATATATTTATATATATATACATGTATATACACGTGTATATATACATAGTAATAGATACAGAGATATGGACAGTTATGAGATAGAGACACGGAGCTATTGACAGAGAGAGAGAGAGAGAGCGAGAGAGAGAGAGAGACAGAGACAGAGTGAGAGAGAGAGAGGTAAAAAAAGGAGAGAGCGCACCACATCGGACAGCAGCGTCGTCGGGGCCCCTGGGCCAAGCGTGCCCTGCGTGCCCGCCTCACAACGTGGAAGCCGCCGCTTGCGAAACAGGGGTGGTTGGATGACGCCCCCATGGCGCGGACTAGTGGGGTCCACGATTAGGAAAAGGGACGGTTGGCGGCGATCAGACCCCACAAGGGCCCGTCTGCGCCACCGTACGGAAGGAGGCGCCGCCTTTGAGCACGCGTTGGCGAACGCGCGCGTGCGCCCTGCGAAACGAGGCGCCTCCTTGGGGCATGCCTCGCAGCGGTCCAGGAGAGGCAGGCAACGCAACAGATGCCAACGATTCCCGCGGCCCGCGTGGAAGGAGAAACAGACAGGTGCGCCGGAGTTTGGCAGTCGAAGATGGCTGTGTGACCTCTGGTCGCACACGGACGGGAAATTTGCTCTGCACGTTTCAAGGTTGTTTGTGCATGATGGACCTTGTCGATCAGCAGTGTTGCATACTTTAGATTTGATGGAAAGACGTCACCAATTAGTTGACGCGCGGATTACACATTTGAGTGCTAGCAGTGAACGTGGTCTCTCGTTCCGCCTGTTGCTGCCGAGTGACAGCATTGAAGTGGCGTCCTGCGACCCGCGTATGGCGCGATCGTTTTGGCGCGATGGTTTGCGATCCTGCCCACGGGCCCGTCCTTATCAGGTCCCGGATGGGCCATGTGGGGAGGAGTGCTAAATCGGGAGACTTGGTTGACAATCGTGCTTTGTTTGTTGAGGACTCGGTCAAATGGAACGGTACCAATCGCGTCGGTGTGTCGTTCGGTTGTGTGGACGTTGATCGTATTGCGATTCGGAGGTTGGTGAACGCAGTCGTCGTCACCGTTGAAAGATGCCCCGGGACCGAGGGTGTCGAGGTTGTCCGCGGCGAAGTCGTCCACGTGTGGGAACAGGGTCGTCGAGTTCATCGGAGTATGCAGGACCTGGCGTCTTAACCAAGGGAGATGGTCCTTTGCGTGCGCCAGCACCATACCCACCCGGAGTTGTGGTGGACGAGTTCATTTCCATTTTGGACAGTTCCGTCCTGGAGTATCTTGCTCGTCTGAGGAGCAGAGGGAACGCGCAGTGCCTCTGGCCGTAAATGGCGACGGCCTCGGTGCGGAGGGCGGCGGCGAACTTTGAGACCATCTTGCAGCATCAGCCACATATTGTGGACGCTGTGTAATTCTACGCTTCAGCTAGCGAGTTCGTCGGCATGCCATCTGAAGGCTTCCGCGATGGGCGCGATGCGCCCCTTGGTTTCCGATGTGGTTTTCCACTTACGTACGGGGTCTTCAAAAACGGGATCTGCCGGAGGCACTTGGTGGATTCTCGTTGCCAGAGGTCGGGTTGCGGCCATTCGCGATGCGGCGGTCTACCAGGTGGGATGTTTGGAAGCCGTCAACCGCAGTGCGGTTATCCCAAAGACGTGCACGGGCCGCTCAGCCGCTGCCGCGAGCGTCGCTGCAAGAGTTTCAGCGCATTGCGCGGGTTGCGCGAGGCCATGTGTTCGCGCGCGCAGTTGGGCTGGTTATCCGGCCCGCAGCGTGCGCAGCAGCTCGCCCAGGCCAGGACGGGGCGGGTTTGATTTGAATTGGCGCCGTCGCGGCGCAGACCCATCGGACGCCACTCTCGGCGCAACCTGGGTAGTCGCCCTCGTCGTCGGCTTTCCCCCGGGGCGGTCTCGGGATAGGCTGCGGGAGCTCGTTTTCCGCCAGGGTGGCTTGGAGGTCAAGCAAGGTCAAGTCCTCCTGCAGGCTGTGGCCACAGTGCCTGGTGCGTGGTGGGAGATCCTGCCATTGCTGCTTGGTGGTAGTGGTATTGCGGGCCGTCCCCTGGTCAGTCCAGCAGGGGCATTTTTCCCGACGGCGCACTCCTGGCGTTCTCCTTCGCGGACGCACCGCTTGCGCAGGGGCGATGGGTCGGCCGAGATGCTGGGTTTCATTTTCCTGCTGTGAGGCATAGTAACCGCGGCTGAGATAATCGCAGAGGACGCCGAGTTGCCATTCCGCGCGCTGGAAGTTTGCTGCGGTTCTGAAAAGCCAACCGCGGGCGAACCTATCGAGGCCCAGCTGGCCGGCGGCAGCCGTTCCGAGATCGCGCCTGGTCGTCGGGGCGCGTCGGAGACATGCTTTTCGTCGCGCGGCGCGGCCCGGGGCGCGCAGGTCAAACTGCCGGCCGGAAGCTGCGGCGTGGAATGGCGCGCGCCCCAATCGTCCAACGTGGCGGCGAATCCGCGCATGCCAGCTCGGGCCAGGCGACGGTTTGTCGCGTTCGGCCCACGGGGCTGCCCCCATGGAGTTTTTTGCGTGCGGCTGCGGAGCGACCCGTCCTGAGCGTTGAGGCAGGTGTCTGTCGCTGAAACGAGGGGCGCCACTTGTGCTCAATGGCATGAGGGGCGCGTCTCTCTAATCGAGCTCGATCGCATGGCCAGGGGCCGATGCGCGGGCTGCGATATCCAGGGGCGCTTGCTGGGTCTGATGGTCGCGCAGGCCGCGTTGCTGCGCAGGTTCCGCCCCCCGTCGTTTGGGGCGTGGATGTCCTCGCCCGCGGCGCGCGCATTGGCGGCTAACGTTGAGCGGGCGGATCGGCGCCTTCCAGGGGGCCCCCGATGCGCGGAAGGAGTTCGATGGCCTTCTTAACCTTGGCTTCAGCCGCGGCTTCTGGGTCGACACTAGAGCCTTCGGTCTCCGACGCCACGTTGACGCTACTTCCAGCCAGCTTCACCTGGCGGTGAGTTTTGAGTGGGCGCTCGTGGAGGCGCGCAGGGATCAGCGACCTGGCGGTCGAAAGCCCCCCTAGCGGCCCATTCCACTACATGGCGCCAGTGGATTTTGTGGCCCGAGATTTGGTCGAGGAGGGCGGTCTGGTCAAGGAATGTTTGCGGCTCGGCGGATCTACGAGCGGCGGCGCTGCCGTCGTCGGCAACGGCGATGCCGGGCGATCGCGGGGCGCGCCTGCGACTGCCGTTTCGTCGCGCGCGCGAGGAGGTTGATGTGGTCGCGCGAAACGAGGGTCATCTTGCAACCGCCCTGCTACAGTGCGCCATGGGGTCGGCGCGCGGCCCCTCCCGCGCGGACGCAGCGGCGGCGCTCGTCGGCGAATTGTCGCCACGCGCGCGACGCTCCGAAGGCGCCCCGCGCGAAGGGCCAGGTTGAGACAGATCTCAGTGGCGAGCTTGCCCGAGCATTTCCGTCAGTCGAGCGCGACCCCCAGCCTGCGGCTGCCAACGGTGGCGCGCGCATTGGGCCTGCAGGGCGAGCATGGCTTTGCCGGCGCTGACAGCGGCGCGCGGGGCAGCTCCACGGCTGGCGGGCCGCGCCCACCGCGCTCGCCAGGGGGCCAGAGAGCGGCGGGGCGGTGCTTCCCAGGTTCGCATCCAGATTGACATATCTGAGAGCAGTCCTTGGCCCGCAGGACACTTACCTTTTCCCTCCTCGCGCGCGCGGTTTGGGGGCGCGCGGCCGGTGCCCAGGGGCAGCCCCCGTCCGTCGCGCGTCTCTAGGGGTCTTGGCGAAGGGGCGCAGGATTCTTCCAGAGGCTGCGCCGGCCCGAGAGGCGGTCCATCCGTCGAGCCCCCTGGTTCTAGCAGCGGGTCTCGTCCTAATGAAGTGAATGGGGTCGTCGTCCGTTAGGGCGGGCGCTCGGGCGGTGCTGGTTCAATGAGGTCTAGGTGGTGTTCAGCGCGAAAGGTTTCGCAGGCGGGCGCGACCTCGTTGACGCTGCCCTAGGTGGCGTGGCATCTGCCAAGGATGGGTTCCCAGTTGTCTGCTGCCTTGACACGTCGGTTTGAGGCTCTGCCCCCGTCTGTGGCCCGCATGCTGCGTTTCTTCTCGCGGATGCGACGTTTGTTTCTGCGCGA